AGGACGGAGTTTCAGGACTGATGAAATAAATGCAGTTATAAAAATGATACTTTTACGCGCGGGTATCATGGTTGGCCTGCTGACCTCATTCGTGTTAGCTGTCGTCGGGCCGCAACCGCTCGTGTTGGGACGTGGTGTGTGGGAGTGATGGTCCCGGGGCTGACCTGACTACAGGACAGAATACGTAAGGGGCGTTTTCTCTATAAACTCCAGTCGACAGCCTCTGTGGACGGTCAAATATCGATGAACCACCATTAATCGAACAATTTTCTGAGTAAAATTAGGCGATACCGGGATCGCCACGAACGCCGCCCCCTCTTGTCAGCGGAGCGTCCTTTCAACCCTGGCCGCGCTCAAGCAATTGCATGCTTTTTCGGTTGTGTTCGAAAGTGGCGTTTGCCGACTTGTTTGACGGAATACGTGCGTTTCGTCATACCTCGCAGCTGCGGGTTTAGAGCTTCTTGCAGACGGCGAGAAAGCGATCAGCAATCAATGATCGAGACATTTCAACACTGTAGACAGGGGGAACAAGGCACTGTAGAACGTCACTGTCTCTACCACCATCTTCCTCACCAGTTATTGCCCTTGACTTGGTGATCATCGCAGTTGCCCTACAACGCTGAATCACTTGCAAGAGCCGACAAACCCTAAATGTGTTGGTTGCACCGTTCAGCGAATAACGAACAACCTTTCTCCATCAAAGCTGCTGCCTGTAACTTGTTCTTTTGCTAGTCCTCACCTCCTCCACGCGCCCCTTCCAGTGAATACCCGACGTTTGTATGCGCCCCCTATACAGTACTTGTATCTAACTTCAATATTGTTTTCCTTTGTCCCGACTGTCAGAAAGTGTGGCCAACTTTCATGTTGCGATTCCAGTGCCCTACCTAGTACTGTCAAGGTGTCCTCCATATTGTAGCCTCTTGGTTGGGAGAACACCAAAGCGGGGCAGTCAGCGAGGAAGTTCGTTCTGATTCTTATCAAGCATCTGCATTTCAGTTCCTGCTGGCCGCCACACTCG